ACCAATATTGGCACAACAAATACAGGTTCACCTATCTCAGGAGTAATGGTTTAAACAGAGACAGAGAGAGATGGAAAAACTGACAAGCTATCTGTTGTGGCTAAAATGTACTGCAGTTTTATGACTTATGCAAGTGGAACCTGAAAATGTAATATAAGGAGCAAAACAGGGAGAAAAATACTTAAAATCTTAAACTTTTCATTTTCTAAATCTCCTTTCTGCAAGGCAGCCTTTGAACCTTCAAACAGTAAGGCATCTAGAACGCTGTCTCATGTTCAGAGTTTGGTACGTAAAAGAATAAAACATCTCTCTGCTTATTGAAAAGGAAATCATAAATCCCGCCAATGCAGACAAAGCTTTTATTTGTCATCAAAGAACTGATTCATCTGATGCAGAGTGAGATTCAAAACTTGGATTACGGAGATTATCTGACAGTGACCAGAAGTTTTTGTATTCACTCTGTTCTAGCAAGACTGAGAACTTTTTTGTCCATCTGCTAGGGAAGCCTCCACTGTGTTTCTCTGTGAAGAGGTGAATCAACTTGCATTGCCATGCGAGACACACCAGCATAGAGTTTAAGACAAAGCTGTGACTCACTGATGACAAATTAATTTTTGAATGAAAAGTTTTCTCACTTTGTACAAGCCACAATCTGGAGCAACCTTCTGATAGTGTAAGCTTCAAGCAAATGAACAGTTTTAAACAGTAACTAAAGATATTGCTTTATGGCAATGTCTGTGAAAAGCACCATGGTGTGAGAATCTGTTTCCATGACTCAGACACTCCTTTTCCCCCTGTATCCTATGCTACTAAATTGCTAGGAGCTGCAGGATTTTACCAGACCACAGTTCTCCAATGGAAGTAGCCATTTACCCCTCAGATATGCGGGTTGTTCAGCTCTCTACTCTTGCATATATTCAAGCCAGGACCTAGTGTAGTAATGGACCAGCCACAGAATCCTTTGGAGTTAATTATTTCAGCTCAGCAGTCTATTTCTGGGTGTCACTAATATTAACGTGGAGGTTGTATGTTCTTATCTAGGACTGTATTTTTAGCTGGCAGAAACCCATCCAAAGGCATAGTTGGCTGTCTAGGGTTGGAACAAAATGTCAAACCATCCAACATCTAAAAATATTAATGTAATTGCATGCTGAAAAGTGATAACTGAGTAAGTAAATACAAATGGATATCAGGTTCAAATTGTGGAATATGCTATTCTATTTTTTCTAGCAATTGGCATCAATCACTTTAATTTTTTAAGATTCAGTATCAAAATATTTTTTTTATATAGCAGTGAAATATTTTGGTTTAACTTTGAATACATTATGAAATAATGCATTTGAATACTTAACAAAGAAAAAAACAACCCAGCATCCTAACACATTGCAATATTTACAAATACTTACATATTCTTTAAAATAATAATTGTATCTAAAAATACTAAGTTAAAAATCTCATTAAAAACTCAGGTGCTAGCATGAGGATTGGAATTACTGCTATAAACATTACAGAAACATTATAACTGCACATTCTGCTTCTGAGACAGTTTAATCCCACAGTTCCTTTTAATGATACTCATCCTCAAATGAGATTCCTGTACTTTGAAATTTTGGGGAACCTGAATTCAGTGGAGAACGGTTTAGATGAGAATAACCAATGAGGTATCAGAGCAAAAATCTAGGATAGTCAAAGGGAGAGAAAACCAACAGTGATTAAAATAAATGAAGAAAGAACAAAACTCATAGATATAAATTAAATCAAATACCTTTAGGCTCCTGTGAAGTCTGAAGCATATCACTACAGTCTAATTTCAGGGAGAAAAACCAGAGGAGGAATTCTGCAGTGATTCTAAATAAAGTATACTATGAGCACAAGGATTAACCGCAGTGCACTACGTAAAAAATTAATCTATTTTTGTCATCTGGATTCTATGACTCCATATTTTTAAGTTCCACTATAGGAGCATTTGTGATATTTCTTCTCCTCTTCACTACATACACATGGTTTTTCAGTGAGAATTCGTTTGAATAACAGATCAGAAGCACCTCTGGCGTGTGTGCACAGTAAGACTATATGATCAGGGAGGAGTATTTTCCCTTGCAAAATCCTAAATTCTGAAATCCTCCATTATTTCCTCACATGAAGTCCATGGCTCTTACTGTTTAAGTTATGCTACGGACAGAACTCAGTGCTGAGGAGAGTAGCAATCAGAGACTGAATCTAGAGAATGAGGACCTGGTGTACCTTAATGCTTGAGGGTCTGGACTGGATGCATTTCTGCTAAAGAAGCTGGAAGAGCTCTGTGGTCCTAGATCTTGTTATGTTCCTCACCTACAGGGGAACTCCAAACTGGGGAAGACCCAGACTTCTCTGCAACTTTCCTATTCCTGATTTCCTCAAAAAAGGAAAATAGAGCTGTGACTGAGATGGGAAGTACTGAATGTTTCAGTTTGTGTGCAGAGGGGGATATCAAAGGACCAGAACCCAAAGGTAGAGCCTCTGTGACAGAGCAGACATTGAACCAAATAATTAGAAGTGCTTTGGCAGAAAACTCTAGCCCTTTCCCACCTTATTTTTAAAATCCGAAATCCCCTAAAAAGGGATTATTAACCTAAAAATGCTAATAATGTATTTATTAATATTTCCATTATTTGGACTTTTGCTAAACCACTTTTATTTGAAATACAAAGCCAAATCCCAACAGGGTGTGTGATCTTAGGGCTTCTCATCTCTAGCTTGTCATTTCACAGAACTGGGCAAACAGAGCAGCAATTAATAAAATATGAGATATATGTTTGAAAGGAGAGAAATTATCAAGGAAGACTCAAAATGCACAAACATTTTTGTTAAACAGCAGTTTACAAAACCCTGAGTGATACACAGAGCAATGAGTTTTATTCCCAAATTTCAAGTTCTGGGTGCATTCATCAGTTCAGGCTTCATTATTTCTGAAGTACTTTGTGGGACAGAAAAAAACCTGCCACCATTCTGTCTGAAGATGGCCCCCTACAAGGGTGGAACTCACGCCCAGAAGACATAGAAACCTTAGAACCTCGGTGCCTTTAGAAAGCAGTGTGGAACTTGTCTTTTGCACTCCGTCTTTCCTCAGAAACTCACACAGAGCAATCTCATTTTTCCCACCTGCATGGGGAAAGCAGATAGTCACAGAGATCCCTTTCTGCCTGTGATGAACAGCTGTAGGTCCACAGCTGTTGGGTTTCGTTTGGTAGAGCACACCATTGTATCCTCTGTGTTAAAAGGTGCTGAGCTGGGGTTTGATGTGCTGTTGTTAAGTGGCACAGCTCCATTTGCACTTCTTGGAGGTCTGGACCGGTTTCTCTGTCTGGGTTTGTCCTTTTGCTAGCCGAGCTCAGTGAACTTAGGTTCATACAGAGAGCACGGGCTTTGAAGTTATCTGAGGCAGGTGTCAATGTTATCATCAATAGCACTTCTGACACATGACTTCAACTGGGATTTTAACTGCATTTTTGCCAATACACAATCCTTTAGCTTCCTCTTACTTAGCATAATTGCATTACAGGAATTTCAAGGAGTTCTTTGAACCAAGGTACAATTAACATCCTTTCAAAGAACATTCCCACCCAGCATTTACCCTAGGTAAACTTCCTTTCTAAAGAAACAATCTGTTTAAGTGTAAATCAGCTTCTTCACTTGTGGAAATAGTTTCCAGTCTATTCTCAAATACACTTTCACACCAAAACCAGTCTGCAAGGCTTTGCATGTTATAAGGTGCATTTTTAGCTAGAAAGCAGGTAAACAATGAGGTTAATTTTAAAGATTATTAGAAAATTACTCTCTGCCTCTAGATTACTAGCCCATGAATTCAAGAAAGAAAAGCTACTGACAATGGACTCCCTAGGTAAAAGGTACCAGTGGTCTTCCACTTTTAATCTAATTTTTAAATTGTCCTGAGAAATCTCTACTGCAAACTCTGGTTGATTGGAAAACAAACAGCAGCTGTAGAAGACAGATGAAAACCAACCTGAATGAAGCAAAGACAGGATTATCCTGTCTTCTGTCCACTGCTGAGCAAAGAGGAGACTTCAGCCTCCAGAGCTGTCATTTTAACACCTCTATGTAGCACTAAAATATAAGTTGAGAAAAATCCAAGTGTCTTAATCACTACCCTGTGTCATTTAGGATATCATCTGACATTAGATAATCATGCACATCCTCTTCACTTCCCTAAGCCAGGCACTGCTACTGAATGGGAGAAGATAAGAACCCCGTTTTAAAAAGATTTTTAAATGACAATGTTTAATTTCATCATTATTTTTAGGAAAGAAAAACCTTGATAAGCCTTTTAAATAACAATCCATAGCCCTGTGGTAACAGGCTGGCAAGTGCAGGTGAAGGTACTGTGCTATAAGAAGCTTTGAAACGTCATAGCAAATTCTTTCCTTTCCTTTCCTTTCCATCTAATCATGCTGTGCTCAAGCCATGTAATTTCCAGAGGCAGCCCATTTGTGTGCTGTTAACATTTATGAGTTTATACATCATATAGTATTTATTAGAATTTGGATAGAAACACAAGAGTTTTAATGGTGGAGTTGTATCACATTTTTCTGAGCACACACACAGAAGAGCTTGAACTACTGCCTCTATTTTTTTTTTTTCTTGGATTATCAAGGATTAACTTAATGATTTCTGTGGGGGAAAAAAACTCATAAAAGGAAAGAGAGAAGCAGAGGAGAGTTTTGGTCATATTTAGACAAAAGAAATCATTGCTAATAGCTAAGTAGATGTGATGAAAATATAATTTCCACAACTTAGAAATTCAGGTGATTTGTTTTTCCTGAGCCAAATGCTCAGCCTTTAGACATCTTTGCATTGGACATCTAACAAGATTCATCTTTTTTTCAGAAATATCTGATGCTATGATTAAAACGCAACCTCCTTCATCAAAAGTTTTTCAGTCAGGAAAACACTGTTCAGGGATAACACATAACCACATTTGGATCCCTCAAAATATCATTTACCTGTCAAGCCAGAGTCACACATTTATTCCTGGACTGCAAGGGAAGGTGGGTACCATTGGATAATCCATTTCCAGAGTTCAGGGCCTGGAATAAGAAATCTTAATGATCTTTAACTTCTGTGTTTAGTGGTTTACACTGCATATTGCAATATTTCTTGTTTGGGTCCAAAGCAATAAAAATGCTTATAAAGTTCATCCTACATCTGGCAAATACACGGTAGAGGAGATCTAAATCTGTGTTCCGGAACTAATTCTTTCAAAATGGAGTCAAAGGAGGATTTAATCAAGTAGAGTTAATAAATTCACCAAGCCCTTATGATCACTATGGTCATGCTTTTAGAAAAGATCACAAATCTCAAAGACAGCTGCTCTCAAAACAAAAAAAAAAAAAAAAAAAAAAAAAAAAAAAAAAAAAAAAAAAAAAAAGAAAACCGAAAAAAAAAAGAAAACAAAAAAAGAAAGGAAAAAAAAAGGGAAAAAAAATAAAGCGGAACAAGCTTAAGCTCCCAGAAACTTGCTTCTTGCTGTGCTAGTCCAGATTGTGTCTGGGGTGAGAAGATAAAAAGCATTGGATTCACACTGCTCCAAAATTGAAGGAGAGCAGGGGTGAATCAGGCCATTAAATTTGTAATCGGATCTGTTGATTGTCTGTAGTGCTGAGTTCTACTCTGTTTTAAAATAACTGGGATTTTATTTAAAAAGAGACCATATAACTCAAACAGCCTACAAGTCCTGGAAAGCTGTTCATAAAAACTAAATTCTCACATTATCAGATAATCTCTTAAAAATTTTTATTCAAATTAATCCATTACAAAATCCATGGGAGAACTTTCCTGGGAGAGATTTCAACCAGTGAGCATCACTTTTCCATTGAGATCAATGTCTTCCAACATTGCATTAGGGAGAGTTTTGGTTGGGTTTTTGTTTGATTTGCTTGTTTTTCATTTGTACCCACTGATCACACCTGCTGGTGCTTCCTTCCTTCCCAGGGAAAAAAAATACCCTAAACTTTCTAAGAATTTATTTAGACAAAATGTTCAAATTTTCCAATGAAAGAGAATGGATTGTTTATGCTAAAACAAATGTGTGTTCACTTATCTTTGCTCACGCTTGTTTCCATAGTCATTTCTTTGTCAGAAAGACATTAAAATAAAATTAATATTTTAAATTACTTTTACATAGATATGTTTACATATGCAGACACACATGACTTCAGATATGAGGTTAAAAAGTTTTTCAATTGCAGACATAACTTACATTGGCAAAATTGCCAAATTAGCATCAATAACAAAGAAGTTAGCAAGTCCTTCCTGGGAATAACCTTAAACAACACTGCTTTAATCATTTGGTGGTCAACCTTGGATGGGAGACAGAGAGCATTATGTATTTCCCCCACAGCTATGGAGTCATTTGTCGTGTACATTATGAGTGTTTGGAAAGGACATTCTTTAAACAAAGGCAGAGGGAAATAAAGTCATCTTCAATCACTGTCATGAATATTCTGCTTAATTGCTGATGGCTTTTACTTCACCACATTGCACTGCCCGGTCTGCTGTCTTGCAGCCAGGCATTGCAATAGATCAAAAGCTACAGTGGGCTCTCACCCTTCTCTAGAGGTCCAGAAACAGAACAGAAGAAGAGAAGAGCAGAACCTGCCAGTTCAGACCAATAAGTGCTGTGAGGCAATGATGGTGCTGCAGGAGCAAACAGATTTCTCCCTGAGAAGGCCTAAGACAAACACCCTTCCCATTCACTCTCCCGTGATTGAAATGACACATTGCTACATCTGTCTCTGACACATGACTCTCACAATCACAGCTCATTATCCTTGACCTGTCCTTAGAGCTGTGCCTGAAGTAAGGGCTGAATAGACTTTTTGACTGCCCTGTTCCCACAGAAAACTTCTGTTTTTCCTGTCAGAAGCCATATAGTTTTTTAAAGTGTCTACCTTGACAATTCTAAGAGACCTTGGCTGTATCAGCAAAGAGTTCTGCTCTTTTAAAAGAAATATCCCCCAGTCTTGACAAGAAGTAAATACATCACCTGAAGTTACCTCTGCTTTTCTCCCGTATTTGACATCCAAAAGGAGATCCAGTGGCTGGCTGGCCGTGGAAGAAGTGGTGATTCTGTCCTAATGAGGATAACAGGCATCTCTGGAGGGAATCCAGTCTACAGGGAGAAGAAATCAGATTCAATGGCCTTGCTGTTGTTGGTTGCCACATACTATGGTCTTCCCATTTTAGAAAATTCCACATTCCTTTGAAGTGCTCACAGAAACATCTGTGGATTTGTGGGTTGATCCTTGTTAAATGTTAACTACTTAATGCCACAGAGCAGGGTCTCTCAGCAGAGCCTGCCATCTATTTGAACAAAATACTGCAAAAGAAGCAGGGTAAGTTTTGAGAAGCTGTCTATCTAAAACTTAGGGAACATAAATAATATATTTCTTCCTGGCCTTGGTCTGCTTTAACACAGCAGCAAAATAGCAGCCTTGCCATTGCTGCTGAGTGCAGCTAATGGTCTTTTTTGTCTAAATTACAGTTGGTACCACTAAAAGTGTGTTTCCTGCCAAGTGTGGTTCACAAGATGCTGAGTCAGAGGAGCTGTGGGGAGGGACCAACAGCAGTAACGGCAGCTGGGAACAGCCCATGGCATTAATGGCACTTCTAAAAGAAGGTTAAGAAACAAAAACGTTCCTGGGCAAAAGGTGCAAAACTGGAAGGCAAATAAACTGTAAGGCAGGGTAAGTTACAGTGTATTATTTCCCAGAAGAGACTGTCATAATATAGTTGCTTGGTGACATATAGACTAATGCCTTAATATTTAGGAGTTGGTCTTTTAAAATATTCATGTGCTTCCTTTTGGACTAAGGACTCAGATGCAGTCAGGTCGCCATGCATCAGCACAGTGGTCTGCCCCAGGAAATTTGAGGCAATTTGCCCTAGTTCAGGGTTCTACAAGAGAGACTTAAATAAGGCAGCTCACTTTATTTTCGCTTGAGGACACACGTGTGCAGCTATTGTACTCCCACTGATAAGCTGTGGGCTGTTAATTCACTCTAGTATCCCGTGGACACAAAGTCTGAATGCTTGTGAGGGTGTTGGCCAACTTTCTGTCTTCCAGCTAGGGTAAGAGTTGTGTCACCTCATCTACCTGGGCTTGCCCTCAGCACTTCCACCCAGAACTGTCTCTCAAAGACAGAAAATGACAGGGCCACACCGGCAGCAATGGCAATGATGAGACAAGACGAAATATCATTTGCTTTTTGCATTTCATGTCTGAAAATGGAAATAAGAAAAAGGTAAAGTTGAGGTGGTGTTAAAAGTAGTTTAAGCAATCCCCAACTTCTCTGCCACTTGTCCCTGTTCCCTGTCACCCTGAGTTGTTGAGACATGCAAGAACAGAACGAACAACATAAGGGATTACATGCATTTGCAAATTAACCCCCACCAAAACTCCTTGTTTTCACCCAGAAAAGTAATTTAACTCCATGCACAAACTCTGGGGTCAGTGTAACAAATAGGGCAAGAACAAGTGACTGCAGGGCTGTTTCAGTCAGCACAACAGTGGAAAAATGTCCATGTAACCACAACCACCTTTTTAACTTTCAATGTCTTTTCCTGCTCCAAGCTCTAATTCTAGCAACCCGTGACCTAATCTTGTTTCCTCTTAAATAAGCTGTAAATTTACCATTAACCTTGATATAAGTAAGATTGATTCTTGATATGTAAAGGATATGATTTTCCACATTTTTTCAAAGGTAGCATCAAGGAGTACATCAGCATTACTGAGTCCAGTGCCCCTCTGCCTGCCCTGTAGCAGATCTTTGGTCCCCAAGAAAACAGAGTCCAAACTCAACAAGCTCACCTGAACCCCACAGCAGAGTTCCCAACACCACAGGACGGCAGAGCAAGGACTCAGCAAACTACAGGTGATCCCACACAAGGACACACTGCTCTTCTGAAACACAACTCTTTTATTTGGGCAGAAGGTGTGTCCCATGCACAGGGTGGGGTCCTGCAGCAGCTGCTGCAAAATGAGGGCTGTTCTGCCCAAATCCCTCCACAAAAGAAGGGCCACAGAAGGAGGAAGGGAAAGCCCACATCAACAATCACAGAGATAGCCTTCCGTCACACTGAAACCACATGTGTAGGCTACCAAGTTCAAAGCAAATAAGCACAAACTTGCTTGCAGCTTTGCCACAGGCAGGAAGCCATGGCCAAGAGGGCTGAGCCCGGCTTAACCCCGCAACCTGACACGTTTTTGCTGAGCAAATTCTTTGCCCAGAGCAATGAAGAGGCACAAGTGCCCCACACTGGTCCTTTTCATCTCAGTGAAGAAAGTAATCACAGCAAGACTTACTTTTTCCCTAGTCTCTATTGCCTCCTGACCTGTTTCTCAACTTTGAAAAGGTTTAGAGGTTTTAGATACAACTTGCTCTTTCTGTTTCTTTCCCTTTTTTTCTCTCCCTGTTCATGCTTTAAATGGATTGTTGATGCAGCTAAGCAATAAAAAGAGGAAAGGCATTCCTTATGTTTTTTTATGACCTTAAGCATCATTTGTGGAACAGAATCAGCAACACTGACCTGGAGGGATGTTTTGAGAAGCCACGAATAGATTGATACAGTGAAGGTTCAGCTCTGATGTTGATGGGTCCCTTATGGAGCCAGTTATACAATGAAATAATAAGAAGAACAATTTATGTAACTCTTTTCTCTATCATACCTTTTCTTTCAGAGAGGTTAAGTTTCGGTTGGGCTGCTTTTTTCTTTTTCAGGAGATATATTTGATGCATTTAGCTGACTCTTGGCCCAGATTTTCACTTGTAAAGAATGTCACAGTCTAACAGCCTAAATTTATTCATGCTTGGTTTATTTATTTTCTCTAAGGAAACATTTTGCATATCAATGGAAAATACGAGGGTGTTTCCCTCGAACCACTTATGAGAGTAACTGTTTAAAGGACACTGTCCACAGTGAACTGAGGAAGCAAATGATACAGACCTTTTGGGCATTCAAATGTCAGGCTGGACACTTGTGTGCTGCAGGAGCAACCTGTGGGCTTGCTGCCGATGGCACAGCTCTCTCTTTTACATGTACTTTTTATCACTACATTTTATTGTTGTTCATAGTAGGTCACTTATACATTCCTTTTCATCCCTTAATATTTTTCCAGATGAAAATCTGCCTGAAGCATTTTATGTACCGATAGATGTTCTTCTTTCTTTTGCTTTAAGTTTTATTTCATTTTTTTTGTAAGAAAACTAGACAAAACTGATAAGCTGGGGTATATAAGGACAACAGAGATACAAACATCTAGAGAGAGAAATGGGACCATGGCTCAGGAAGGTAATTCAAGTTTGTACAAACACCAAGCAAAGAGGCCTGGAATGCACGGAGTTCCTCCAAGATGTAAATGCTTAGTAAGCTACTTGGTCTGCTGAGAGCTCACTTCTCCTTCCTGTGCATTTCTAAGTGTTCTTCCAGATGTATCCCTCATTTTTCCTTATATCCTATCACGACAGAAAGGTGACGAGGTGCACGGTGTCCAAAGTGAACAGACAGATTTGTGCTGCTTCACAGTTGTCAATGTTGTCTGGATTGAGTCTTCCTCTTCTGCCCAATTTTCAGCCCGATTTTCAGCCCGTAGCTGCTGAAACAGTTCAGAGGAGCTGACAACTGAGCGCTGCTCAGTTAACAGGGTGCAAGTGCTAAGAGGAAAACACCCATTTTTCTACTTCCAGGACTAGAAGGTGTATTGATAAACACACAGCCAGAGCACTGCTACTCACAGAAACCAGTTACAAATGAACTTTAAATCTCTTTGCTGTCTTACTTTTTCTAGAAGTGTTAAAGAAGTAGCAACATAAGGCCTGGATTATGCAGAGACACTTGGAAAAGTTATGGCCTCCTAATAGCCCATTTAACATGTTAAATGAGCATAAATAAATGTAGGATTGTGTGTTTCACAAGATTTAATTTTATGCTAGTTTCTGTACTCATCGATTTTCCCCTTTTCTTCCCTCGAAGAGCACCCATAAAGGGAAACCCTATAGGCTCAACTTCACATCCTCATAAGGATGCATAAGGACAGTTAATTGCTGTAAGCCCCTACATTTTCAACTTTAAGGGAAAGCAGGACTAGAATACCAATGTAAATGGGCATTATTCAAAGCAGCTGCCTCTGGGCATAGCATCTCTGCCTCTCTGCAATGAGCTCCCTCATTAGCTGGCAGGTAGGAAGGGGCCAGGTTGGGAGGAGTGGGGCTGACAGGCAGTGCTCTATTGACTGGTGGGGATGTCTCCCGTGGGCTCTTTGGGAGGCTGGTGAGGGCTGCTGCTGCCTCAGAGGCACTTGAACCTTGAAGTGTTAGAGTTTTGTCTCATCCCATCTGTGGACTGGTTGGCACTTCTGGTAATTTTCAGTTAGTAAGAGCAGATAATGGGGAAGGAGCACAAAAGGTCCATTTTAAAATATAGAGTTTTAGTTAGAAGGTAGGATTTCAGTAATCATACACTTGTATAATTTTGTAATGACTGGGCTTGGTGCACGGTCAGGGATCGTACCCCTTATGGCATCCCATGATGGCTCAGTCAGTATTGGCAAAAATTGTATGGTTTGGTTTCTTTGTCTGCTTGGGGTTTTATTTTGTTTGTTTGTTTAGTTTGGTTTGGTTTTTGTTGTTTTTTTGTTGTTGGGTTTTTTTTAAGTAACTCGGGATTTTCCGTGGACTGACAAACACGTGGGTTTGGCTTGTATCTCAGTAATGCAGATTAATGGTTAGTGGTACCAGAAAACTTCAGTTTACCATAAGTCTAACATATTTGAAATTTGATTTTCTTTTTAAGAACGATAGATTGTTAAATACCATGATGCTTTCTTAGTATTAGACCTTATAGTGTTTCTGCTGAAATCATAGAATCATATAATTGTTTAGTTCATGCAACTATGTATACATGGCCAACTCCTAGAATTCCATAATCTTGTTCGGATAGTGCACAGAGTTTCTTAATAACAAACAACACTTTTTTATAGCTGGCCCTGCTCTGGAGTATTCCAAAGTCTGATATTTATGGGGTAGAAGAGAGTTGGATGGTGTTCCAGTAACAACCAGGACAACCTCTAGA